TGTAAACGTTCCAGAAAATTTATCAAATTAAAAACAGTTCGTTTGATTCTCATCATTCTCAGCGGTAGGTGTTAAATAACAATTACTATGATTGTTGAAATATTGAATGTAAATAGGGTTTGCTTGCAAAATCCGCGCGAGCGAAGCCGCGGGTAACAGCTAGTGTTAGGCTGTGTACACACTAGGCGTTTTTAAACGCGCGTTTAAAAACGCGTACACACTCAAACGCGCGCTTATAGATTTTTATTAAAACGCGCGTTTTGCGGGCGTCAGCCGAGCGCTTTGAGATATATGTGCTGCCATGTTACTGTACATTCGATCGCGCGTTTTGCGGGCGTCAGCCGAGCGCTTTGAGATATATGTGCTGCCATGTTACTGTACAGTACATTCGATTGCGCGTTTTCGGGTAGAGTGGACGTACGTTGGCCGAAATGGAGAACGATCATTTCGATACTGATCTATTTATTGATGAAATCTAAAAGAGACCAACCATTGTCAAAGAATTTTATAGATAATTTAAAAGAATTAAAAAACTTGGGTTTATTTTGTCTTAGTTTTGGATACAACGTCGCAAACATTCCATGCGTCAGTCTATCTCGTAATCTTGGGTGCACCCAAAATTCTCTTTGCCTCTGCCATCGTCTTTTATAGCGACGATGGAGGAGGGGCACACAAGCAATTACTTTCACGTCCATTTCCAAACTGAGCCAGTGCGTATGCATCACTAAACGGTCGTGTAACGCCGAGCTAACGCGCGGTGTGTACGCTGCTAACGCGCGTTTAACGCAACGCAAAACGCCTAGTGTGTATACAGCCTTAAATAAAATTTGTAATCTAATTTTGTAACTTTGGCAGTGGCGTAGCGTAGTGGGGGTGACAGGGGCGTCCCGCCTCGGGCGGCACTTTTAGGGGGCGGCAAAATTTCGCAATAAATAATATAGCTTGTAAAAATTTGAACCATTTCATTTCATATTTTTGTCGCACCTACGATTCGAACCGATTGAAATGAGCACGGAATTTTTCATTACTTATGACGAAATTGAATTTTAGTCTTTTAAATTGAGATACCTAAGTAAGGGGTCGGCGAAATTTTCCCCCGCCCCTGGTGGCTGACATCCACGCTACGCCACTGAAATTTGAGTGTGCTTCAAATATGACATTAAAACGGTTTTATGTCGTTACAAGTGGGTTTTTTAACATTATCTAGTATAGTAAAATCGTGGGACCGATAAAAATTTTACGTTATATTAGGGTTGTCGTTACATCCGATGACGTTATAATCGGGTTAAACTGTATATTGTTTGTACAAAATAAAAATAAAAAATAATTTCGGACGATACAATAGCCACGATTATTTTTTTCAAAAACGGGAAAGTTTCGTTACGCATCGAAAAAAATTCAACCCGGGCCGACACGCAACGGAGAGAAATTTCGAAATTGGATAGGTTAATTCAGTGTTTCTCAACCTCTAACGAACCGTCGCCCCCTTCAATACCGTTACGTAGTATCGTCCCCTTTACTACAAAATTCCGATGCCGACGGACAAGGCTAACTCCAAATTCGTACTACATTGAGTAGACTAATAACTATTATAATGTTATTTGTTTAATTATTGTACGATATAACGAATAAAATATCTAATTATTCTTAATATAATGTTTTACTTTATCGCCCAGAAAATTGTTTTTCTCTCCCAAAATATATATTGTTACGCCATTGTTACTACTGTAATCGCTTCCATGTAATGAACATGGAAAAACGCCCACATGGGGGCGATATCGCCCCCCGTTGAGAAACACGGTTAATTTCATCGAAAATGCATTGTGGAAGACCTCGTCGTCGTGGCCGGTGAAGTTTGAACGATGGTGTCCAAAAGTAGCAATACTAAAGAAGATTGGAGAATGAGAACCAGACCCGCCTTGAGCGTCAAAGTGATTTTGCTTAGTAGTGAGTCTCCGAGACATTCTAGTCTTGTCTCAAATACGGTTTTGCCGTTTTACTTGTACTGTTAATATATCAGTTAGATTAAACAAATATTCGAAATGAGCCTGAAAAAAGTGGATATTTTTGGTATAGTTAATTCTTTTTATATTATAACATCATAGGGCAAAGAAAAATACAAGACTATTTTTCTTTAATCTTAAATTATGTTTAATCAAGATTACAGTCAACCCCCCCTATAAGATTGTTGATTTTTCCGTTTTATATGAATTCCATGTTGTACGAGTCACTTAGATTTTACAAATACGTGTGCCGGGCTGTGAACGGCTCACACAGTATTTCTTTAAGCTTGGTCTTATGGAAGTAATTGCAAACTTTCTCTGTTAGGCTCATGTAACTGTTTAATCATTTAAACAATTCTGTTCCTGTTTACATATTTAGATTATTTTAGTTAAATGTATTGAGTGATTGATTTCCAACTGACTCTGATTACCTCCAACTTCACCTCAGTTACTCTAAGTCTCATATAAATTTTGATTTATAGGCATAACCTGTATGGTGTCAGAAAACATTGAATATAATCAGTTATATTTGATTACAAACGTTACACTTTTGTCAATTTAGGCTATTCTTATTGATAGGATGTAGTTATGAAAAAGTTGTACAATTATTAAGAATGAATTGAAAATGCAGAAGATTGCATCTCATTAAGTTCCACATTATTTGACTGAAGTACAAAAATGGCAATGATGTGTTATATAGCCCAAATCATTTTGAGCATTATGGAAAGGAGATGCTTTTCTCAAGTGAATTGTTTCTATAGATAAAATCTAGGCTTCATCATATGAAATAATGTTTAAATAGTGGTGAAATGAGTGAGATGTTTTGATTAACTTGATTCAAGAAGATATGAGTAGTGTCTGGAAACATCAAGTTTATGGCAATTGTTGCATATGACTTGTATGGATTGTGATATTATTACACATTCATATTTTGAGAATTTTCTACAGTATACCTTTGCATAGCTATAAAATGCAAACAGCTTGAGCTGTTGCAAGAATTACCAATCATTATGCATGATAATGTTTGCTATCAAGTGTCTACCAATATTCTTCATAGGTTGGGCTGAGAAGTACTGAAATATTGACACCACTCACAAGATATGAGGCTGCTGTAATTTTAATTGGTTTACAACGATCAAAAAACTACTATGTAAAAAATGATTCATATGCATTTGTGCTTTTGAATAGTTTATGCAACAGAAAAATAATTATATAGCTGGAATAAGGCAACTCCAACAGTTTGGAAAAAATGTAAATAATGAGAGAAATTATATGGAAGAATTCACATATAACTATGGTAATTTGTATAATAAAATTTTATTTTCTGAAAAAATTATGATTGCTATGACAAACTGTCAATAAATGGTTTAGTTTTTTACAATTTACTCTTGAAATGTAATGAATAAAAGAAGTAATATAAATTAAATTCTCCTGATAGTAACAGAAGTAATTCATAGAATAAATATTAATACATTAAAAACAGATAAAAAATTATTTTAACAATTTTTGTTGACTATATTTAAATATATGAATATAGTTAATGAATTATCAATACCATCTTTTGTTGCTGAGAAATGTTTATTAAACAGAATATAATAGACCAAGAAAATGAATTCTTATTGACTAGTAACAATTTTTAAATGATTAAACTTTAAAAATCTCTCTGTATTTATCTTAATCTATACAATTTTCCTGCATGATGTTTCTATTAAAGTAAATATTAAAATAATAGTAAATGGTATATAAAAGAAAAGCCAAACTTTATCATAGTTATAAGAATCCAAGTATTAGTGTGAGAATCTGAAGGGGGGATAAAGAAAAAGAAATAATTAGAAATAAGAATACTGAAATCATAATTAAGAATTCTTTTTATGACATAGTGGGAAAATATCAAAAGGTCAAATGAACGAAAGGAGTCCGAACCGAACCCACCCACACACTTCCTATATCATCTGGTTTTGGAAATGATAAAGCCGATCAAGATGACCATATAAGGTAACAATTATTGCTAAGGTTGCAAGACAAACTCTGACTTTGACCTTAGTCACCTCCAGAAATTAATTCAGTTGGTTTGACAGTTATCATCAAATTTATGAAGTAGAATGAGTAATCATAACAGATAGAAAGAGGCAATAAATTTAAAGAAATGTTTTGATTTCTGACAATTAACAAACAAAACCTGGACACAAAGCAAATTTAAACGGGTTGCATCATACATAGCATTAGTCAGGTCTCCCAAAAACGGGTATAAAAAGGGCTTGGACACGGTCCTCAGGGCGGACATCAACGGGACACCAGACATATACTGCCATTTTGTTTGTTGCCATCCTTGCCTTCCCGCCATAATCGCCGTCCCTCTCTTAAGATGATCCTGACCTGAATAGAAGGAAGATTACTGGTAAACTCTGCAGATCCAGGAATGTTTTTACCAACATCCTACACCATGAGCTCGGGAACCAAGAGGTATTATTTTAGACTATTTGTAAACTCTCTCTCTCTCTCAGGTCTCTCTTGGTTATAAGCTAGATTGAGGTTAGTTTAACTTAAAGGATTTTGGGGCCGAGAAAGGTCCAGAACTTAGATGGTCTATCGACAAGAACGAAGTAATCATTGTCACAACTTAGGAATTTTGTCACTAATTCCAACTTTTGTATCTATTCGCTTTTGTAGTCGCTGTGTATTATTTTATAGTTTATTAAATATGATATTCTTATGTTTAATTATGTGTCATCCTTGAGTATGGCCGACACTGTGTCATGACCTCGCTAACCCTAAAACTCGTTTACCACATAAGCCATTCTCTGACAGAGAAGCTTGTAAGAGGGGTACAGCGTTTGCCCCCTCGATTCTCACATTAGTGAATTTAATTTTCTTCTTTTAAAGAAGAAAAATATATAAAATTATTATTTTATTAATAATTTAATAATTATTAACATTTTACAACAATTTTTTAGTTTATTAAAACAATTTTAATTTTAATAACATTATTTTTATTAGATATGCAATTGCTGATGATTCATATCGATCATTACGGGATCAAAATAATGATCAGTGTATCATCATCAGTGGAGAAAGTGGTTCTGGGAAAACAGGTAACTTAATAGATTAACTAACTAATTTTAGAATTAATGTGTTTTAAATAATTTTCCAATGTCAAACATTTTTAAACCAGTTTTTCTGAGGTAATTTTTATAATTAATAGGCCTATATATTTGAAAGAAAACCAAATTTTTTATTAATTGTAAACATGTGCTTGAATTTTTCAATAGATGCAATTGCAGTATCAATAATTGGAAAATAAAAAGTTTACCTTAAATTTTAGTTGTTGGGCTGCAATTTGAAAAAACTGTAGACCAGGGGTGGCCAACCTTTTGCATACCATGTGCCAAGTTTTTGATAGACAAGTTCAGATGCGCAGTGGCGTACCATGAGTGTTAGCAGCCCGGGGCGGAGAAAAATTTCGGCCACCCGTTAATTAGGTATTTCAATTTTTAAGAAGAAACTATTTATAATCTATAATTTATAAGAGAACTATCTTACACGGGTAGCTACACTACCCGTATAAAGTAGTTCTATATGACATCAGTGGTGTACGTGAATACGAATGCATAGTGTAACGTACAAGCAAAAAAAAAAAAAGGTCAACAGGTCGATTGCACAGAATTGTGTATGCAATGAAGCCGAATCTGGCAATGTTGCTCGGAAACGACTGAAGCGCCACTTTTAATCGTCCAATGCGCTAAGTTTGGCGCATGCACCACGTGTTGGCCACCCCTGCTGTAGACCTATAAATTGTCTGTCTGTCTTTCCTTAATCTTGCGAATGGAGTTAGATAGATGAAAGATGAGACCAAATATGGAAACCGCAGAGACAGGAGGCTTTGATTATCTATACCACATTATTTCAATTCAAAACTTTCCTTTGAAAGGATTTAGATAGACGATTGGAACAACTTTATTGTTAACAGGAAAAGTATGATGTACAGGGGTAAGACATTACTAATTTGAGATAGAGAGCATATATTTTAAGTTAAATAAATTAAAAATTGCAGCCTGGCATTGTGATGATGTCACAGTAAATAATTGCTTGTTCTTTTTAGTCTTATTTCTAAGAATATGTAAATTAAACTATAATAATAAATATTTTATTTAAAATTAAATTAGACAGTATTTTGCCAAAATTAAAAATCAAAAAGATTTAACAATCTATTTTTTTGTTTGAATAAGGCTGGCATCTCCATATCTTACCACTATGCCAATTTACAATTTTACCATTAGATGAACTTAGGTCATTGTTTAGCTAGGTGCCCTAGGTGATGACCTAAGTTCATCTAATAGTAAAATTGGCCCTGTATTGGTCTTCTTGGTAAAATTCAAACAGTATGTAATATTTCTCCATCTGGGCCTTATGCCCAGATGGAGAAATATTACAACAGATGAGTTGCTGAATGCTTTGCAAACAGACAATGATAATGATTTTGATGATAATTAGTAATTAGATAATGACTCTATAAGGGTTCCAAAAGTGACATTGATCATATCAATGATTCATCAGAAATTAATAATATTCTGAATTCTGCATTTGGAAATGTGGACAATAGTAATCAAGACATTCATCAAATATCTTTTGTGGTCAAGGATGGTATAATCTGTAGATTCACTTCAACTCCCTTGGCACGACTTTTACATATGCATGGCTCCACAGTCCACACACCAAAAACACCGAGAATTTTTGCATTTGCCAAGATACAAAACCTGGGAAACCAAATACATTTAGTGATCGAAAAATGTAATTTTCCAACATTTTTGATCAAGAAACAGATGGTGAAATTCTCCCATGCTAAGACTACTTACCATCCACTGTCAGTTAACAACTTGCTGCAGGTTATAGAATGTTTCAATACCATTTTTCTGGTAGACAATGAATACATGATGGTCTTTGAATCAATGTATCCATCTATAAAAATACCTTCTTGTTTTTGTGCAATAAGGGACTTCCTGTTTGCCAACATCAATGATGCGTGAAAACATCACAATCATATACAGTAATACCTCGACTTACGCTACCCCAACTTACGCGAACCCGGAGTTACGCGATTTTCAAATCTCGTCGATTTGTCTTTTGTTTGAGCGCCACGCAACTCTCGATTACTCACTTCCCCCACACTATTGTTCAGCTTACATGTTCGGACGTGTTGCGCGGAATTGACACATAGCTACAATTTATTTTGTGTTATTTATTTCTGTGTTTGTTATATCTACGGAGACTTGAAAGACTCTATGTGGTGATTTCTTCTAACCGTGAATGAATCAAAAGACGAGATAAGATTAACGAGAACATTTATTAGCTTATATACAACTGACTTGGATTTTACACAAATTGCGAAATTATACCCCGACTTACGCAAATTCGACTTATGCGGTTATCGCTCGGTCCCACCTATCGCGTAAGTTCAGGGTATTACTGTACTGGAACTGGCACATCTTGTATGTTATACATCGTTCTTTGAATTTGAGAACAAGGAAGAGGAGTACCCATGGGTAGTCCCTCATCAGCAATACTTTGTGAGCTCATGGTGCAACAATTAGAAAACAACATTCTACTCAAATTTCAACACTTTATCATCTTATACACTAGATATGTTGATGATATTTTCATCTTGTGGCAGAGAAAACCAAACCTGCAGCAATTTGTGAAAGTGATCAATGATAACCTTTACGGATTATTTCTACAATTAGACCAGGAGAGTGAAACAATGGTAAACTTTTTGGACATTTTCATCTCTCAAATATGACAAAATTTGGACCAAGGTATACAGGAAACCTTGTTTTCAACCCACTTTAATTCCACATAACTCTGTTGATTCTTTCCACATCAGATTGGCAGTCTTTATTTAGATCCTTGATAAGAAGGGCATATACACATTATACCAGCATAAATGACACTGTAACAGAGCTGAATTACGTTGTAAGGATTGCAGAACAACAGGGTTATCCAATAGAAATGATTCAAAAGTTGATCAGAACCTTTCAAACAGCAAAATGTCAGAATGCATTGGTAGTCAAGAAACAAAGAGTGGTTTTAAATTATATCCCGTTTTCTTAAAAACGGGATATAATTTAAATACATAAGAAAGCAACTAGAACCAATAATCTCAAGATTGTATATTGACGCAACCAATGATATTCAGAAATTTAAGGAATGATAAAAAACTGTATAACCATAATTCAGCTAAGGGATTTATTCCATCCCGTTAATCGACCAACGTTTCAAATCAAAACTGGTCTACGTGGGTTCCAATATGTGCAACTTACCACAACAGTTCAAAGAACATAAATATACAATTGATAAAAATCTTGATAACACGATGCAGACAGCTTATGCACATCAGGACATTTAAGTGTAATGGGAACTGGAATGAATCATCAAACCAACATCAAATATAAATACTATGAGATATCTGGAAAGATTGGAGATTTTTAAAGCGCACAAAAAGACGGTTGCATCAACCATAGAGATGCTGACAGCTTGGCTACCGCATGGCAGTTTTTTTTATGAAAGTTAATTTTATTAAGGGGCGTTTATTTGTCTATTTTTATGTTTTATTGTTTATTTTATTTTTGTAGTTATTTATTACTTGCAACTATGATTTCAGTTATTTATTTATGTATTTATTTTAGAATTCTAGTTATTGTTTATTTTAAATTTACATTCTATTTTCACATTCTATTTCATCGTAACTGAGGAAGATCGGTTAAACCAATTGTCTAATTATCCAGTTGATAGAAAATATATTGATATACCTATGGCTATGCCAGCCAAACAATATAGGAAACTGGTCCTTAAAATATATAAATCAAGGAATAATCTATAATTATGAACCTGGTCTGAGCTTGGATACAGGTGTTGTTGATAAAATAAAATTACCATGTGAAACTTCTCTGGAAGAACCTATAGATGCCTTTTAACTCTTTTTATAAAATTGTTTAGAAAATGTAAAATTCATTAACATTGAAGCATCTCATATGTATGCAAAAAATAATATTTTTATGTTGGAAGCCATGTGTTGAAACTGAAATCTTTTGGTTTATTACTAACAGCAGGTCATCTGGGTTGCAACTATATTAGTTATGAAGTTTTGTGGGATAAATGCTTTGGATCTCCTATATTTTTGTGCTACCTTGGATGCTTGGCAAGCAATGTACAATCTGACACTATCTATGGAAAGCCACCCAATTAACATAGCCCACCAAATCACATAATGATGCATGTTTTACCACTTTATATGTCTGTTGAAAAACAGCATTTTAAATTTGAATTTGAATGATAGCTTCAATTCTTGTTCCATTTAAAGAGAGCAGAAAACCTGAAGCAGAGCTCAGAAGGAGTCTGAAAATATTTGTTTACCTGTGAATCATGTTGTTGGGCATCTGGAGGTTTATGAGGTGTGATCAATATGCTGACGATCACGCCAAAATACTATATTGTAAAAAGAGAAGACACTGAGGTCGGCGTTTGTTACGTGTGCGTTTTTTTAATCGCACACATAATGCCGACCTCAGTGTCTTCTCTTTTTACAATTATGAGGTGTGTTATCCACCTTTAATCAAACTCTTTTGTTTTCTTGTTTATATTTTAAAAAGAAAGATAGTAATGTTTTATGCTACTGCCTGGATCTCCAACATAAATCTTCAAATATCTTCATATTCTTCACTATTTTTTATTCTTTTAACATTCTTTAAGATTAATCCCTTATCTCTTATCTGACATTGATAGGAATTCTACCAAAATAATAATAGATTTGTCTAATTTTATAATTCTTTCTGTAAGGACTTTGCTAGATTCATCTAGTATTATTTCAAAAAGTTTTTGAATCTTTCCTTTTACATTATGATTAGCATAAGATAATTCTTTAATCAAGAATAATTCAAGATATATTCTTCCTTCTTACTTCATTTGCCATCATGTCTATACTGTCTGATAGACTATTCTTACTCTGTATATCCAATTAGAATTTGAAGAGATCCTCCAATTTAGCTTTCAACTGAGTTAACTGTATATCAAATTTAGTATGCAAATTTGTCAACCAATTATTCTGGCAATTAAGTCATTTAGAATTGAAAACAACATGTCAAACATTTTGTCAAAGTGGGATTTGATTTTCTTAGATAGCAACTTACTTAGATCTGTTGTTATGACAGAATTATTATATGCAGTTGGTGGAGTTCAAGGAAAGGGTCAGGATTTTCCTCAGTCTGCTTAATATTAACAGAATCTGAATTCTTCTTCTTTAGTTGTCTTCTCCTCTCAGGAGGTTGACTACCATTTCACACCACCATGATCTATTTGAATCATCACAGGAAAATACTTAATATTACTCATTTTACAGCAGAATAACAGAAAACACTGTTCTCTTTGTTCTCTTATGAAAATTCATCAGCATTTCACACAACACCCTTTATGGGGGATAAATGGAATTATCAAGATAATTTATTTTATTTATGATAAATCAAGCACCAGTCTGTGCTTTATACTAAAATTGAAAAAATTGCAGAAGTTACTTATCATAATTAGTTTAGCCTCTTATTCTGAACTGTATTCAATAACAATTTGAAGACTTGAATCATATAATGTTGCTAATTATATTAATGTAATGATTAATATAAACAATTTAATTATATTAATATATTAAAAATTTTACTTTAAAAAATATTGCAAAACTAACTATTATCCAATTTTGATAATTAAATCTACTGATAAATTATTCAAGTTATTTAGGTTTTAATTATTTATTTATAATTTAAGAGAGAATTTATTTTAAAATTTGAAAAAATATACAAGTCTTTACATTGTAATATAAAATGCATTTTTGTTCTGTAGAAGCAACTAAGTTTATACTACAGTATTTAGCAGCAATATCAGGGTCAGGAAGTGAAGTAGAAACTGTTAAAAACCAACTTCTACAATCAAATCCACTGTTAGAAGGTATATAATATTTTAGTTATAATTTATTATGAAGTTTATTATTATTTTTTCTATAATTTAAAAAAAATATCAGTTTTCAAAATTTATAAAATTATATTATTTAATAATCAAGAATAACTAATGAAAAATTGCTTACAAATCTCAGTTATGGAATTTTAAATGTAAGCTATTAGTTACAAATAATTATTTATGTAATGAAATATTCCTGTATTGTGCTTTATACAGAAGCTTGTTCATTGCAGCGTTTGGTAATGCAAAAACCCATCGAAATGACAACTCCTCAAGATTTGTAAGTAAGCATTTTTTTTTTTAAATAAAAAATTTTAGCATTTTGAAAGTTTACTTTTTAATTTAAATTAATATCAATAATTTACTCAATACTTTATTGGTTATTTTATTAATGAAATATTATTTTAAATTGCTATAAAGTAACATGATTTTTACTTTAATTAAATCTCTATTTTTATTGCTAATATGACTTATTATTCAAATATTTCATTATTTGAAATTTTAAAATGCAAAAAAACCTTATTTTCCATAAGTATATACTTAATGTAAGTATTACAGTAGAGTACCGATTATCCGACCCCCGATTAACCGTCACATCGGTTAACCGACTGTTCTAGTCGGCAAATTTCAAATGTCTGCTAGTGATGTGGCGCTACAATATTTGGCTATGTCTTGGCTACTTTAATACTTTTGTTAAATTTTTGCATGTTTAAGCTGGCAACACTGGCTCGACCATGAAAGGGAGGCCAGTATTTAAACAAGATTTAATTTTCTAATTATGAGTGGTTGTTTGTTTTGTGAGCAATAAAATAATTTAAAAATAATTTTTAACGATACAATAGTGATGATTATTATTATTTAAAAAAAATTTTGTTGGGCTTAACATTGATAAAAATTCAACACAAAGTAGGTTAACGATATACTAATACACTATACTAATAATGTATTTTTTCATTATTTTCGATTATCCGATTTTTTCAGTTATCTGACCAACCCGAGTCCCCAATTGAGTCGGATAATCGATGCTCTACTGTATTTTAAGAAATAAAATAAAGTTATTGATAATTGTTGACATTGAAAATGTTAAAAACAATATAAAAATGTAATTAAAATTTTTAAAATAAAATTTCTGATAAGATCAATGCTAGATAAAAGTGAAGTAATTCTTTCATCCTTACTTGTCTATTTTATTAATTGCAAATTCTGTGACTATATTAATTGTATGAGAAAATGAATATTTGAATATGGGAGTGCCAGAACGATGAATATATTTTTTTAAAATTTTTTGCAACAAACAAGACTGTTATTGAGTCTGAATTCAGAGAAATGGAATTGCTTAGATCAGGAAAAAATAGAAATTTATGTTATCTTAAAATCTGTTTAAATCTCACAATGAATACATTTGTATGGCAAGATTGAAAGAGATAATAATTGATATTTACATTAGAAATAGAAAAGTTATGTCAAAAATTCAGATATCATTCTCTTGGCAGATAAAAGTGTCTTAAAGTGGCAGATAAAGTGATTTGTTAAAAAATAATAATGAAAAATACAAAATTGATTTTAATACTAAATGTTAAAAGGAAAACTATTATATCAAATTCTATTCTCATGGTTTTTTTCTTTAGCAAAATGATGGCTAATTTGAGAGTTACAGTGGAAATTAATTATACAATGAGAGATAATCTATAATAACTGGATGTGTTTTTCAGTTCACTCACAAAACCAAAAATTCAGCAGTAATGCATTAAATTTTAAGAAGTACTTGATAACAGAAAACATCTTCAATTACATTCATTTATTATTATTTATTTTATGTATAAATATATATATATATATATATATTTTAAGAAGTACTTGATAACAGAAAACATCTTCAATTACATTCATTTATTATTATTTATTTTATGTATAAATATATATATATATATATATATTTTAAGAAGTACTTGATAACAGAAAACATCTTCAATTACATTCATTTATTATTATTTATTTTATGTATAAATATATATATATATATATATATTTTAAGAAGTACTTGATAACAGAAAACATCTTCAATTACATTCATTTATTATTATTTATTTTATGTATAAATATATATATATATATATANAACAAAGTATTTTATTTTACGAAATTTGTAAATTTTTAAATTCCAATTATGAAAAGTTCCTCTAATTCAAACTTTACTTTTGGGAGTTAATGCCTTCTACATTTTTTTACAGTATATCTTCAAGTATCATGAAGCCGTTTACTATGATCAACACATAATGATTGATTCAGAGTGAATTTAAAACAGCAATTTTTAATGCCTTTTTGCATTAAACTATCCGTAAGTAGAAGTGTTTTTATTAATCGACTATAATTACTTTTAATTACTGTATACTTTATTGATAATATATATTGTATACTAAATATTGCAATGCTCATTGAATTAAGGCCAGTTTATTTTTTAATTTAAGATGAAAATTTTAAGTGTTACTGTACTTTGTTTTAAAGACCAGCAAGTACAATAAAAATTAAAAGTACAGTATATATCTAGTGTTTTTTGTGTAAAATATTTATTTTTTGTAAATAATGTATATACATTCATTATTCATTATTATTTATTGTACATATAAATATATATATATATACAGGCTGGCCCCGCAGAAAGCATTACCGGCTAAACTCAATACAATAGCAATGCTCAGAAGTACAGTACATGTTATACACAATAGACTAATGATGAAGAATTAAAATAAAATAAAATAAAATGTATACTATATACAACTATATACATACAATAAAATACTAAACTATAAATACATGTTATATATAACTGTTAACATAACATAACATGAAATAAATACATAGGATATATCAATATCATAAATGTAAAAAGCGATATGTAAGAAAACAAAGTTGGTTTAACTATAAATAACTATATACAACTATACAACTACATACATACTCAGTGAGTTGCTATTATTAGCGAAGAGTAAACAAATTTTATCATAGTCATGAAATGTGTTCACAAATCACAATAAAAATACACAACAATCAGCAACTCTCCAAAGTTGAGGCCAACACTAACGTTGAGTAATGTGTCCTTTGATTTTTAGAAAAACAGGCGATTATAAATAAATCAAAGTATGCAGAATACAACAGTATACTTGATGATGTACAAAGATGTGAAGTAGTCTATGCAAATTTCTATATATGATAATCAATCCTTTGTTGGAATTTGGTTTTTTCCTTAAGATATACCGGACAAGTTTTATCCATTGTATTATGACAGTTATGTGCTCTGTTTTCTCATAAACAATTGGCATACTTTGGTGAATTATGTTTGTTCTGGCAGTTTTTATATAGATGATTCTCATTACAATGATTATATATATTGTCTGTTGAGGTACAATTTTTTGCTATGTGACCAAAAGATAAGCATCGATAGCATTAAGTAATAGGAAAAAAGTCAAAAACTTGACACGTCGACCAAAGAAGGTGAATTTTTCCTGCTTTTACCAACTTATCCCTAACCTGTGGAGATACCTCCAGAATCCATGAAAGATAATTTTCATTCTTTTCTTTAAGCAGAAATCTAATAGTAGCATGTTCAGCAAAAGTGCGATCAGTAAAAGTTTCTAGAAGGTACATGTTTTGCACGAAGATATCTAATATGAGATCTTTTTTATTAATACCTTTAGGAATGGAAGCAATTTTGATTAGTGGAAGTCACTTTTTTGGCAGTCTGGAAATAAAGCCAGGAACTTGTTCAACATTCTCTTTAAAATAAAAATAGTCTACCTCATTCTTATGGCTTAAATCAATTGCAAGTCCTCCATTCCTAATTTTCCTTATTCTACGTATCCCTATGCCAAGTTTATCAGGTTGCACATTATTAGTTAGATTACGTTTAGTTTCATCACAAGTGGTACCGACTTTATCACTATATACCAAAACTGTGTATTCTGGTGGAGGTGGTTCATTTGCAGGTAAGGTTGGTTTTATTCCTTTTAGTAGGGTATCTCTATAACTAAGGGTGCTAGGAACTTTTTCACCAGCAAGACTGTCAGAAGTAGTTTTCCTTTGGTTATGTACTGCAGATTGAATATCCATTAGAATTTCTTTAGATTCATCAAATTGAGCATCTTTAAATCTTAGTTACTAAAGAGGATTACAAGACTTTAAAGTCTAGTAAATCCTCTTTAGTAACTAAGTTTGAAAGTGTTTGTTCAACTAAATTATTATTCTTAAGGGTAGATTCTGCTAATTCTATAATTCTGGTGAGTTGTGTCAATATATATGTTAAATGACACTCTACCCCAAATCTAGCATTTCGATTTTGCAGGGAATATCTCTTAATCTTGTCAATAATACCATAAACAGTATCATGGAATATTTGTATTTCAGATTCCATACTGAAGAAAATAATAAATTTTAACTTAAAATATTAATCTCATCTAATATATTAATTTTGTTAGCTTATAATTATGTGCAACGTCTTNGGGTATCTCTATAACTAAGGGTGCTAGGAACTTTTTCGCCAGCAACACTGTCAGAAGTAGTTTTCCTTTGGTTATGTACTGCGGATTGAATATCCATTAGAATTTCTTTAGATTCATCAAATTGAGCATCTTTAAAGTCTTGCAAATCCTCTTTAGTAACTAACTTTGAAAGTGTTCGTTCAACTAAATTATTATTCTTAAGAGTAGATTCTGCTAATTCTATAATTCTGGTGAATTGTGTCAATATATATGTTAAATGACACTCTACCCCAAATCTAGCATTTCGATTTTGCAGGGAATATCTCTTAATCTTGTCAATAATACCATAAACAGTATCATGGAATATTTGTATTTCAGATTCCATACTGAAGAAAATAATAAATTTTAACTTAAAATATTAATCTCATCTAATATATTAATTTTGTTAGCTTATAATTATGTGCAACGTCTTTTTCTACTCTAGACGAATTTAGAAATATATGATATGTCTAGGAAATTATTAATAGAAATAGAGAAAAATACCACTTCTGTGAAATGTTCTAGAAAATTCCAGTAGTAGAGGTCAATCTTCAATTACAGTTGATCCCCCCTATAACACTGCTGATTATTTTGTTTTATATGAATTCCATGTTGTACAAGTCACTTAGATTTTACAAATATGTGAGTCGTTCACAGCCTGGCACATATATTTGTAAAATCTAAGTGACTTGTACAACATGGAATTCATATAAAATGGAATAATCAACAGTGTTATAGGGGGTTGACCGTACTTCATTTTCAAACAGCGCCTACCTCTGCCCTTTAGGCAATCGCACGATAACCACCTATTGAGGTGCATATAGATTATTTTAGTCAGATCAGTCACCTTAAATGGGGGAGGACATACAAATTAATACTGGTACAATAACTGCATCAGATTTGGAACGTTTGTCACCACTGTCCTTACTCTCAAATCCCTGTGAGTTAACAATCCAAATTACAGATACTGATCAAGAGAACGATATAGTTATTTTTACTGATGGCTCTAAAAATGAAAGGAATGTAGGATGTGCTTTTGTGGTTTACTCAAATAACATCGAGATTGCTTATCAAATGTTTCGGCTGGGAGAACTCTCTACAGTCTTTCAGGCAGAAATGTTCGCAATTCTTCAGGCCCTTATCTGGGCCAATCAACATTATTCCTTTACAAGAATTACAATATGTAGTGACAGCGCTTCTTCACTGGCCACAATTAAAAGCACTAAAGCTCACCCATTGTCTACAGCTATTAAAAAGTCTGTTCTAAATTCAAATAATGACTATAAATTCAAGTGGGTAATGGCACATAGGGGGACTAGCGGCAATGAAAGAGCAGATCACTTGGCTAAACATGCTGCTAATAATGATCAGCTTATAATTTCTTATAACAAGGTCAGCTTGAATACTATCAAGGGCCTTCTTTGGAGCAATATGCTCAACAACTGGCAGCAAAAATGGAACAGCAATGAGGGTAAAATTACTTACAAATTTTTTCCAACCATTAAAGATATCTTTAAATACACATGGATGAAACCATGTTTTTGGTCCACTCAATTTTTCACCGATCATGGTAAATTTGCCAAGTACCTACACAGATTTACTGAATACATCAATAAAGAATGTCCAACTTGTAAAATTGAAGATGGGAGCACTCATTATATCTTCAACTGCGTAATGCTTGAAAGAGAAAGACAACAACTCAAATCTATCCTCATTAGCCGTGGTTACTCTTGGCCATGCTCTCATAATGACCTTGTGAACAATAATGGAATATTTATTTATTTTTATAATATAATTAAAAGCTACGGCAAAATCGTAAACATCCATACTTAACTCCTTCATAAAGCCTCCCAGCACTCTACATAGATATTACATTGAATTTCAACACAGAAATGAAGATGCGATTGGGCTCTTCTAGTGGGAGAATGTTCTTATAGTGGTCTGCAACAGTACCGAATCTTTGCAAGAATTTTAGTGTATTAAAGAGATATAAAGTGATATATGGTGAATTCTTCTCTTTTGTGCCTCTAAAATATTGTTCTATGAACCTACTGACAAGGATATTTTATGGATTCAAATTGAAAGGTTACAATGTAACTTAAATGTGAATTGAATGTTTAGGGGTTTCTTCTAAGCATCACTCAGACTTTTAGCATGATGCTATATGAATTAACTGTTTAAATTTCTTGGAATTTGCAAAGAAATCTTCCAGTATAGAAATTGCTAGAGCAAGGACTGTTCACGATGCAAGATGAATGTTTCGAACTCTGGGTGTAAACATTTAGTTCCTGACATCCTTAATCTTTTCAATGTAGTTATCATATTTTGTATTTATTCTGTTACATATAACCCATTATTTATTGTATAACTTTCATACACATTGTCGTGCCCTTCCCAACACGCGAAAAATTTGTCTCGCGTATTGTAACAAATCTCTTTTCTATATGAAACGAAACATGTATACTTAATCTTAATCTACTAATTGTAAACTTATATATACCAACCTCTCATTGTATACTTTGTAATACTTTATGCTATAATGCATATTACTCTTACACTTTGTAAATGTAACTATAACATTTGCAATACCTAAAACATCTGTAAACTGGCTGTGCTTACTGCGGAACCAGTTATGTAATGTTGGTTACGACATTAAAAGATTTGTGTGTGTTGTGTGTGTGTACTTCATTTTCAAATTTACATTAATTAACAATATAGAACAATGCATAGAATAAACTTTACTAATTCAAATTAAATGGAACATGTTTTCCAATTGGTCATTGTCATATATTTGGAGGAGTCAACTTGTGAAGCTAATAAGATCTATATATTTTTTATATTCTAATATACATATAAAAATTTTATTATAATAATAATAATAATACCTGTTTTTTTATATTACTTCAAATGTCGATGTCTACACAGGCAATAATATGTTGGTTTCTTTGTAATTGATGACTCTTGCATTTTTATTAGCTTTATATATTCTCTCAAGATATTTTAGATGTGAATCATCATGTGTGTGGTCTATTATTTGCACTTGATCATTATTGGCATTGTCTGCTAAGGCTGTTGTTGTAAGTCCCTTTTTATTGGCTTCTCATGCTGTTGTTGGACTCATGTTTTCATGTTCTTGTAGATCTATAAATTCCTACTATTGTCTATCTGTTTGTATGTTCTTCATTAATCTTGGGAAGAGTTAGATAGATGAAAGTCAAGACCACATATGGAAAGCTTGGAGGCAGGTCATCCTGATTAACTACATGAACTTCTGCTTTCGGTTGGAAGTCATGTTATTTCAATTCAAAACTTTCTCCTGAACAGAATTAGATACATGACTGGCATGACTTCAATATTAACACAAAGTATGATGTACAGGACAAGACACTATTAAACTTAAGTGTATTGTGACAAAAAATTGCAACCCAGCATTGTGACATCAGATACAATAAATAATTGTTCATATTTTTTGTATATTTAGATAACATGAAGTGACCCCAGTGTATTCTAATTTCTTTTCAATTCTGCTATCAGTCAATGGAATAGAATACATTCCTGGTATATTTTGAGGATCTTTGGGATCCTTGGAATTCCATAGTAATGAAAATATGGTAGAATTTCTTTTATATGCTATTTTGCAGTTATTGATCTTAGCTATTTCTCAGTGAATGGGAGTGAGTTGTTTCACTAGTTAACTGCTTTTCTTTTGTTCTTGATTGGCAATTTTGCTGACAAGATTTAAGCCTTTGATAATTTTTTCAGGATAACCATTCTGGACTGCAGTTTGTTTAATGTGATTTAGTTCCTTCCTCCTGTCCTCCATGCTGGAAGAATGTGTGAAGGCTCTATTGACTAGTGCATGGAACAACTTTGTAGAAATTGTGTGACTCAGCTAGAATGAATATGGGCATGTATGTTGGTTTATGACATACCTTAATTAATGTATATATGGCTGCTCTTCCAAGTTAGAAGTACATCCAAGAAGTGGATGATGTTGGATCCCTCTTTTTCAATATCTGATTGTAATCAAAATGGGTTCTCTTTGAAATGTGTTAAGAATTCCTGCTTGTTGGGTTTGTATCTCTAAATGATAAGTACATTGTCAATGTATCTAAGGTATCCACTATATTTTCATGGAATGGTGAGAGAACTTCCATATCTAGTTTTCAAATCACTAATTCACATAAGGTGACTGAAATTGCATTAATCATAGATACACCTCTTGGTAAGTTACATTTTCAAATTGAAAGAAGGATGAATAGTAAATGAAGTCCATTAATTCAAGGATGGAAGAGTGGAGCTTTCCAGGATCTTTAATGTTAAATAGGGAGTCACATAGCATACAGAAGCATGGTTCTAGGGGTGCCTGCAGACCATAAAAAGGAGTGGCACAAGCTATAAAAAAAGGGCATCATACATACATACATGCATACATACATACATACATACATACATTATATAAAATATATAGTGTATAAATATATACAAGTATCCCTTGATTAACTGAATTAATCAAATACACTGGTACCTCAGTACTCAACTGAACAGTCACGACCTGCTAGAACAAATTTTCGGTTAATAACAAATATTTTTATTTTAATTTTGTCATCAATAAAAAGTTTTCCGTGATAAAAAATGAGTAACTAATTTCAAAATGAAATGAAACCTTATAGCTCCCTTGGGGATTAAGAAAAGGGAAATCAATGACAAAGGGAACATCTATCCCAGTGTCTGTTCCTGCTTGTTGTATTCAGAGTGCCCTGCTTGGTTTGATTCATATTGATGGGTAAAGTGATTGAAAATCACAAACAGCAAAGTATGGTTCTTCAGGTATGGTTAAATTATGGAGATGTTCTAGTAGGGTTTCCAATCTGGTATTGATTGGTCATAATCCTGTAGTTTGTTACTAATAAACTTGTTTGGGATTTTTTCCAGGCAGATTATTAGAGACATTGTTTTTTGATCACAAGGCATAATTGGGTGCCCTGCTTGTGTATTTTTGTGAATGCAAAAATACAAGGTTTGGTAGGTGGAGGAAGGATGGCATAACTTAAATTTAAAATTCTAGCTAATGGTGCATGACGAGCGACACGTTGCCCTGCGGTGGGTAAGAGGCCACACCGGTGTCCTGGGCAACGAACGGGCCGATCAGCTGGCAAAGGTGAGAGCCAGTGGCCCATTTGTTACGAGGACGGTAGATCCCTCGACTACATACATAAAAGGTACTCTACTGCAGAGATCGATGATAAGCTGGCGAGAGAGCTGGACTCTAAGTACAGTAGGTAGGCCAACCTACACCTTCGTGCCTGTAGTTGGCCTCACTCCGATAAGTTGTTGCTCGTTGTCGACTCAAATCTTAACTGGCCACGGGAGGTTCCCCCACTTCAAGTCCAAATTCGGACAAGGAGATGGTAGCTGCCCCTGTGGTAGTCCTCGTGGCGACGCGAGGCATTACGTACTTGACTGTCCCTTAACAAGGGACTTCCGCCTAGGGGCGGACCAAGTTGACTGGTCTAAGCCCCCTGAACAAGTACTTCGAACGCTAGCAGCTAGTAAAGGGAACCTAAAGAAACTAAAGGAATTGATGGGAAAAATCAT